AGCGAGCTTCTTCCTCCTCTCCGGTTGTTTCTCCCTTCAACCAAAATCAACTGACCCGAGTTCGAAAGTCAGGCGACTGACATGTAGCTATCGTGAAAAAAATTATGGTTTATGAGATTCCAAGTTGCAAAAATGCCACAAAATAGAGAGATGAAGAGAGAGAGAACGAAAAGAAAGAATAAAGGTGATCCGGGCGGGCCTAGGCCGCGTCTTACGTGGTAGACTGACAGGGACGTCTGCGAGCCCTCATATCCTCCCTATATTCGTCCTCAATATGAGGCTTCGAGGATAGCCCAGACATATAGGAATGATACGAGAGATCTGGTTGTGTCACTTTTTTCCTTATCTCTCTTGTTCGATCACTGACCGATCGTGTCAGCAGACGTGAGGAGGATTTAAGAATGTCGGTTGTAGATGCTCTTATGTCATCATCGAAAATGATCGTTTGAAACCTTGATTTCCTCTGCCTTTTTATACATTTACATGCAATTTGTCTGCATGCCTCGAAAGAAAAAAAAAATTTGAGGGTACGCCAAAGGCGTACCATAGCTTTATAGAAGGGGGGAAAATATGTACAAGAGAGATTTGTAGCTAGTCACGTGGTCACAAGTCGACCCGGACATCGCCTCCACTCCAAACTCAACACTCTATGTGCTACTCAACTACATACTCCACTCCAGTTGCTCCGGCCTGCACCCAGATGGCCAATTCGTGGAATATGGCCTCCGTCACGCCAAACACATCTAGCGTGTCGCTCCTACTAAAGACTCTCGCATTCCTCTGCTTCCACAAAGACCAGCATATTAACATAACCACCGTGTCAAAGCCTTTTCTGCTAGTCTTGGCAATCCGCTTCCTCGCCTCGCACCACCACTCCTCCAGGTGGGACTGCACCGTGGGGCAAAGAAGGTCTACTCTGATCCTGGTGAAACAGAGAAACCACACATGCCTGGCATACACGCACTGAAGCAAGATGTGATCCACATTGTCCTCGTCCTGATCACAGAGATAGCACGGGGAGGTTTGGTCCTGTAGCCCATGCCTAGCTCTCCTATCCGAAGTCCAAAGGCGATATTGCACCGCGAGCCACATGAAGATCCGACAGGACAACGGCGCCCAACATTTCTAGATGGCAGCGAAAGAGCGGAACCGAATGCCACCCATACAAAGTATCCTATAAGCCGATGCTGCGGAGTAGACGCCGGACTCATTCCATCCCCAAATAGGAGCATCATCCAGCTCCGAATCCAAGTGTACCTCCATAAGAAGTTCCCATAGCCGGATGAACTGGGCAAGGGCGTCAGCGTCAAGGATCCCGGTAATGTCATCTATCCAAGCGTGCAAACAAAGCCCCTCGCTGACGAGACGTTTGTTTGCCACCTGCGCCCTGACTCTGGCCGCCACCAAGGGTGCAATCTCCGCGACTATGCCTCCATTAAGCCATCTATCCCTCCAAAAGAGGGCGTGCTCTCCATTCCCAACACGCCATTGGACAAGACTCCGGAAGGTGAGCGCCACTTGCTTATCCGCGGTGAGGTTTAAGCCCTGCCAGGGCAGAGGGATCCGTCATCTTAAGCCATTTTCATCTTAGCCTCAGAAGAAACCATACATTTACCATCATTAACGGCATCCGTGCCAGCTCAGAAAAAAGCGCGGCAACCCTTATCCACTTGTTCCAGGGCCCACTTTGACGCCTCAGCAACCATGAGGTGGTGCGTTGGCCTCGTCCAACAGATGGATTTGGACGCACCACTTACAGTCGAAAGAAAACTAACATTAGCCTCGCCTCAGCAACCAAATGGACGGTAAGAACGTGCAACTCACCGTCCTCCCAGTTTTTGGGTTTGTTGCATATTCACAGTTGGACGAGGCAAAAGTTAACAGATTCACATGACTGTTTAGGGACCAGACAAAATTCGTACGAACTCTCCCTTTTTTGCGGGGGAAAATTCATACGAACTCGTTGGCACGGGAAATTTGAGAGGACGAAGAAGGGCAAGATCGTCATCACAATCTGATGAACAAACGCATTGGACGCGTTAACTGTTTCTTGGCCCCCGCTGGTACGATCTGCGAACGAGCCACACCAACGTGGTTCTGACACGTTCGCGAGCCGATCACGGAAAGCTGCAGCTTTCCACGCGCTACCGACAAGCCACCTCATCGGCTGCGGGTACAGGGATAGCACGAGCCTGACTCAGCTCCTCGTGGCGATAACGTAAAAAAAAGCTGCCGCGATCCACGGTCGGTCGAGGCGCACGAACGGGTCGCGTATGGGATGGGCTCCATCTCAGCCCGCTAAGCCTCGGCCGTCGTCGTGGCCCGCGGGCCGGATTCTCTGACCATTTGTTTTCTCAGCCTCTCAGGTCACTGCCACCCCACTTGCCAACAATACTCTGACCGGATGGATCGCCCTCCGAACTGTCTCAACTCGCAACGCCTTTTCCCTCGCTCCCCGTGCACCGCCCCGTGACACAACTGCACTGGTGGTGGAGTAGATAGGGGCGGGAGGAGGAGTTGACAGGAAGAGAGCGAGAGACAGACCGATCGATCGCCCACCGGCCCCGCCCGCCGCGCGCATCCATCAGCCCGTCCGTCGCAGCAGGCTGCCTAGCTTGTCCGGCCGGCCGGCCATGGCGATGGCGCCGAGGAGGCGGACGCTGCTCAAGGTCATCGTCCTCGGCGACAGCGGGTCAGTCAGCCAGCCATACCTTTTCCCTCGCCGGCCATTCTTCTGGCCTTGGTTTGGGCGTGCTTTTTTAACCTTTTTTGACTTGGAATCATTTGGCTTTGCGTGCAGGGTCGGCAAGACGTCGCTGATGAACCAGTATCCTTCCCGCGGCATCGTCCATCGATGGTGCTTGACTCGTTGAATTCTTTTCTACGTAGTAGATTGGGTAGGTTCAAGACGCAGCTTTGCGCGGGGGTGCTTCCCTTCCGAGCTGCTTGCTCTGATCTAGGACTAGTCCGGCCGGTTTGACTTTCATCAATCTCATTGCCTCTGCTAGCTTCAGTTTCACTTCTAGTCAATGCTCGCTCGATTCTGTTGGGTGATCATGCTTCCTTCACTTTATTAAGCAAGCATTGAAAAAATGCTGCCCACGCCGGACTGTCGTGGCGGCAACACCGGGTTTTGCCAGTGGGGATTTAGTAGTATAGCTGCTGCCCGCAAGATGTTCGATCAAATGTGAGGTGTACTTTGCTTGCATTTCCCTTGACATGGGCCGTCAGGTATGTGAACAAGAAGTTCAGCCAGCAGTACAAGGCGACCATCGGCGCCGACTTCCTCACCAAGGAGGTCCTCATCGAGGACAGGCTCGTCACCTTGCAGGTCCGTCAGCCTCCTAGCTCCTTCTCCATTCATCTGGCATTCAGAAGACTAAAAAATGTCGTACATGGTGCTTAACATCATCGATCATTATGCGCTGCCCTGTCTTGCTGTAGATTTGGGATACGGCAGGGCAGGAGAGGTTCCAGAGCCTCGGCGTGGCCTTCTACAGGGGAGCCGACTGCTGCGTGCTAGTCTACGACGTCAATGTCAAAAGAACCTTCAATACACTCGGCACCTGGCACGACGAGTTCATCAACCAGGTAACTTTCTCGTCTTTTGCCCATCTTTGTCAAAAGAACACTTGGTGATGCGTATGCTTACAATAGTCTGCTCTGCTATCAAATTCTCAGTTGTAAATCAAATTAAGAACACTGGTTGTTTAGTCCTTTGAATCGTATACTGCAATAGTACAATGTTAGCTGTCTATGGCATCGACAGATTGTAATCGCCCGAAGCATTTTTTGCCGTTTTCACTTTCAGGCCGGCCCGTCAGACCCCAAGCAATTCCCCTTCATTTTGGTCGGGAACAAGGTCGATCTGGACGCTGGAAGCAGACGAGTGGTCAGTTAGTTACTTGAATTACGATGTCAGTTTCTTCACTGTCGTGCTCTGCAGTTTCTATTTCTTTACTGTCATGCTCTGCACAGGTTCCTGAGAAGAAAGCAAAAGACTGGTGCGTCTCCAAGGGCGACATTCCGTACTTCGAAACCTCGGCCAAGGACGACTACAATGTCGACACCGCTTTTCTGTGCATCGCCAAGCTTGCCCTGGAGCATGAGCACGATCAAGACATGTAAGTAAACGCAACCCATGCCCGATCTTAAGATGTTTGCCAGATGCTGTGAGTTTTATCAGGTTATCTGGAGGCCTATAGGCTAGAGGGTATGCAATTTCTTAGTCCACTAGTGTCTTAACCGTGTTTCTTTTTCTGTCCCCAGCTACTTCAATTCAGTTGCAGAACAAGGCCCTAAACCGGAAGAACAGACGAGCGGATGCGCGTGCTAGGCTAGCATCTTCAGTACAAGACTACAATTCTGCTACATTTATTGCACTGTATCCATTTCTTGAATGTAATGTAATGTACCATACGGTAGTTAGTGACTGATCAACAGTTGCAAGCTGTGCTCCCTTAGCTGGGCAATAAAATGTAAACAGTTCCAACCAAGGAATTATTGTCGAACTAATTCTTCGTCGGTTGTAACATGTAGCACTTCAACTGTTTGGTCTGATTGTAACAGAGAATACTCACTCTAGTTGACTGGAAATAAATAAACTGCATTCCCCTTCTCAGTGGTACAGGAAGGGGGAGTCAGAATATATACGATTGGTAAATAACAACTACTCCCTCCGTCCCATAATAGTACATCAGAGTTTGGAGCAGCAGAATAGACATATAGGAAACCAACAAAACATAAAATCACTCTCACTCAAAGAACCCGCCAAATCGATAATTAGGCGACTTAAAACCTTTTGGAAAGGCATACCATCTTGTTAAATAGCATTCCAGCGACGCATCAACGATGGCAGTCCAGTCGACCTTCACCTTCAGTTTGGGGGAACCGTGTTCCCACACAGTCTCAGTTGTAGGGTATTCGAGAGTGACAGTATTCTTAGGGTCCTCCTCCTCCTCATCCACTTCTTCGCTATCTTCTTCAATGCCTTCCTCTTCCCCTTCCCCTTCGATTTCCTCTTCCTCTTTGTCGGGCTCAATCTCGTCATCATCCTCATCCTCTCGTTCAAGGCTAATCATATCCTCATCCTCAATCTCCCAACCCGCATCAGAAAACAAACATAGAGCATCATTTGTTCGTCATCCGCGAACGCGGGGTCTTGAATAGGCCCCTGGACAGTTACTAGATTGCGACTTAACACAAGAGAGCTATCTTCCCTCACCAATCCCCCAATAGGCACGCTGCTATCATATACAACCATATGATGTCCATAATTTCTAGTAGTCCCAACAGTTATTTTACCGTTGAAGTGGACAATAGGGTCATCGGACCCTTCTCTCACGACGCTGACTTCGAGGCTTGCCGCCACCGGTCCTGTCACTTGTTGCAGTACCAATTTTACCGTGCTCTGGAAACTAGGTAGCTGGTCGATGACACGCTTGTGATACGCGTTGTGATGGTACGGTATTACGCCTTTGCTGAACTGTACTTCATGTTTCCAGAGCTGGAGTCATGTTTTGATTCTAACTGTTTCTCTAAAACCCTTGCCCTTGATCTTTAAATCGAGCTCAAAGCACATAAAAGCACGAGTAACCAATGGCCGGTATGGACCTGTTAGAGCTAACACATCCTTCTGTGCAAAGGGTTTTAGAGAAACAGTTAGAATCAAAACATGACTCCAGGTTGGACCATCGTTTTGAATTTCGGTTTCCGAAATATTCCAGCCACAGCCAAAAATCACCGAATTTCACTGATTTTTGTTTTCATTTTGGCCAAAGGATTCCAGTTAAGTTCGACTGAGATTCAATCATTTTTCAGAAAAAATATTATATATATTCAAATATTGTGTGTATACCGAAACATTTTCACCGAAGACAATTATTTAAGCACCTACCAAAATTAATGAAATTTACAAAAATTCAATAAAATTACATTGAAAGTGAAAACCATGGGATAAATCTAAACGATTTCAAAGTTATAGTCAACATCACTTTTGTTGGACCAAATAGGTTATTCCGATGAACACATTGGACTAGACAGTTACTCACAGCATTCTGGATAACTACATTGGAGAGGATAACCACATCATCTGGATTCGATGAACATATAGATGGAATTAAATGAGCAAACATAACTAAGGAAAATAAAATGTACCTCCGAATTGATGAGCTGGGCATCCTCCCTTTGACGGTTTAAGAGGTAGACACATTTGTAGTCAACCTCATCCCTCGCAACAACCCTACCGTAAACCTCAACCGGGTATGTGTAATCAGGACCAACTCTAACCACCCTCAAGGAAATGACATTCATGGTTGAAGCCGTCCCCTTCCTCACAGCAGGGTCGTACGGTGGCCCAAGTTCTACTCTTGCTGCAAATTAATCAAGAGCAGAGATACGCACTACAAATCAGCGCAAACGTGCAAAAGGATGAAGGTTTCGTTCATCAGATTAGAAAGAAGTTGATGGCTGTGAATATAGGGTCTAGATAGATAGATACTCACACTTTTGGTCGAGGTCGAAGCCGGCTAGGTGGAAGCTGCAGAAGCGGCCGGCGACGAGGGCCTGCCTCTTGGGGTCGTGGACCATGAGCGCCTCGACCTTTTCATTGTGCATAGCGGCCAGCTCATTCTTGTCCGTGCTCCGCACCAGTTCGGGGAACGTGAGCTGCTTCATAGCAAGCTCCTTTAAGTACTGGTGGTTACGGACGATGCTAAGAGCTGTGAGGGCAAGGTTCGAGCGCAGATTCTCCTCCGGCTTCTCTTCCACGCCCGACATCCTGTCAACATAGAAATACAGTCCAACCATGAAGCATCTCTTTTCCTTTAAAAAACCAAATCAATTCTTCTCTCTGTCTGATTTTTTTTGCCCAAACTACCTAATTGCAATCCTGACTAGATGTAAGGAACTACATGACGAGTGGCGGACTAGACGTGAGGAACAAAACAAAATCACTAGATGCAAGGAACTGGACAGAATTAAGGCTATTTCAAGTCAGATGGGGAATTTGAGAAAAGACATTAGTTTACCTGCCACGAGTCGATGGGAGGGAGCAGGGGATTGGCCACTGGTTTGGTTGCGCGATGCAAGATCCGCAAGGCGACGAGAGATTTTGGTGGGTGGCGGCCCCGGCCCTGCTCCGCGAAACGGCGAGTGACGCCGACGGGCGGCGCCTGCTCCCTCTGGTGCTCTGCACGGAATATCCTATTTGCCGCTCGTTGCGTCAAATTGCCAGCGCTTCGCACAGGCGAGCGACCGAGCAGCGACGCAACGGGCCGGCCCGTTTAAAGATTCCAGCACTCCCGGTTTTGGGAACCTTCTAGAGGTTCCCAGCTGGTTCTTTTCCGGTTTTGGGAACCTTCTAGAAGGTTCCTGAACCGGTTTTTTATTTTCCTTTCTTTTTCTATTTCTGTTTATTTTTGTTTTCTTTTTTTCTTTTTTGTTTTTCAAGTTTATGTTTTCTCTCTCAAAAAAAGTTCAAGCTTTTACAAAAATGTTCAAAATTTGAAAAATGTTCGTATTTTCAAATTTTGTTCATAAATTCAAAAACTGTATGCATTTATCAAAAAATGTTCGGATTTTTCAAAAAATATTTTGTGTTACCAAAATTGTTCAGAATGTTTTTGTTCAAAATGTTGACAACTTTTAAAAAAACGTTCGCGATTTCAAAAAATGTTTCGGTTTCAAAAATTGTTTGCAATTTTCCAAAAACATTCATGAATTTCTGAACATATTCGTTTTATATTTTCTCCACGTATTCAACTTTTGTTCACGTATTCAAAAAATGTTCAACTTTCAAATTTGTTTGGAATTTTTAAAATTGTTTTCTGTTTCTAACTTTGGTCTAAAAATGTTCTTGTTTCCTTTTCGGTTTCTTTTTTCGTTTCTTTTTTATTTTTCAATTTTTTTTGAAAAAAGTTCATGTTTCAAAAATTGTTCGTAACCTTAAAAAATTGTTCCCACTTTCAAAAACCTTCATTTTTTTAAAAAAATGGCCGCATTTTCCAAAATTGTTCATAAATTCAAAGAATGTTCGCATTTTAAACAAAATGTTGTGGGATTTAAAAAAGTTCCCTTTTTAAAAAATGTTCCCTTTTTAAAAAATGTTCGTATTTGCCTTTTTTTGGTTTTCTTTTCTATTTGGAATTTTCAATAAATGTGTTCACTAATTTGAAAAGAAATCATGTTTTTGAAAATTTGTTCGCAAACTCAAAATATTTTCGAGGAATTTGAAAAAATGTTCTCATTTCTAAATTTTGTTTCATAAATTTGAAAATGTTCTGTAATTTCAAAAAAAGTTCCAGCCTTTTCAATTTTGTTCACATACTCAAAAAATGTTCATGTTTTCTGAAATTTCTGAAAAAATGTATTTTGAACAAATTATTCACAATTTCGAAAAAAATTCATGTTTGGAAAAAAATGTTCATGATTTCAAAAAAATGTCCCTGATTTTTCGAAAATTTCATAGTTTTTTGGAAAATTGTTCCAAATTTGGAAAGTGTTTGTGTTTGCCAGAACATTCCATTTTTTGAAAAAAGAAACTACTTTTAAAATTTCTAAAGTAATTCGGATATGCAAAGCGTGTCTAGTTCTTTATGTTTGATGCTAAGTTATGAGCACATACGAGTGCGAGGTGAGCTGGTAGGAACACATCATCTAGATCTCTCGATCCTGTGTTCGAATCCCCGTATTGCAGTATTTTTTGAGCAATGGTCGTTCATGTCGATCATCATCTTCATGGGTCGGCCCAGTCGGGGACGCTCCTGTGCGAAGCCGCAGCAACTTGACGCAGAGAGCGTCACATAGGAGTTCCCGCTCTGCACGGTCGATAAGGGGAGAGTTTTTCTTTTCTTTTTTTGAGGAACTATACGGGGAGAGGATAGGATGGCCTGGTACCTGCTGCCGGTGGGCTGGGCCTGGAAGATGCATGGCTAATATTTTTTTTGTTAAATTCCTGGGCGGGCCACAACCCAGTTCGGCCCCTACAAAGCTCCTACCACCCTTCCTATCTAGGAGCGCTCTTTCGGGAGTCTCACAACGATCAGCGCCACTTACCGCGCTCTCAGCCGCCTGCCATGTGTCGCGCTTCCTTCAGTTTTTTTATTTTTCTGCACGCGTTTTTGGCTTTTTAAACGTGTTTTTTTGGTTTTTTCGACGTTTCGGTTTTTCATCGGTCTTCCTTAACTTCTGGATTTGCGCGAAAAAACGCATTTTCTTTTTTCCCTTCCGCGAGAAGCACGGTTGTGCTTTCGCGAGAGGCACGACCCTGCCTCTCGGAAACCGAAAAAAACGCGTTTTTTTTCGCGAGAGGCATGATATTTCTTCCGCGAGAGGCATGGTTGTGCTTTCGCGAGAGGCACGGCCGTGCCTCCTCGAAAATGAAAAAACCCGCATTTTCTCTTCTTTTTTCCTTCCACGAGAGGTACGGTTGTGATTT